TCCTGTTAACAGTAACTTTTTATATACGTTGATCACTTTACTATTTACTTCCAAATACTTGAATTTTTTAAAAGTATTTCTAGATCATTTTTATACACATACTATTTCGTATTTTTCTAAATAATTTTTAATAAATTCTACTTCATGAAGTAGTTTTTAATACTATTCATTATTCAATTGTTCATTTTGTTCCGAATTGTTCAAATTCATTTGATTCATTTTTACATGGAGGAATATTTATTCCATGTTCATTTGATAGAACATTTTTAGGTCTTTGGGATTTAATTGTTCATCAATTTATTCCAACATTGATTATAATTATATTTTCAATATTTTTACTTCTTCGTATATTAATACAAAAAAAGGCGACTAAATCAACAAATTCAATGGAGAAAATGTCGAAAAATGACAATACAATTGTTATCAATTTCAATAATTTATCTTATTTTTAATACTCCATGGGTATTTCTTATATTTGCATATCAATATGGTTTACCAGATAATATTGCCATTCCAGCTCTAATGTATACTGGATATTTATTTTATTATGTTATCTTTTTATTTCCATTGGTATCTCTTTTATCGTTATCTGAACTTCGGTCTAAAATAAAAAACAAGATTTTATGTTTTAACAGACAACAAAGAATCCATCCTATATCAACAACTGGCACTCGTTTACAAGCCAACGTACTAGTTTAAACTAATTAAATTCATATATTATCAAACGAATAATGATTTTATTTATTTGTGTTGTTTTATGTACATATCATATCCGCATTTGTCCTTTTTTGTTCTATAAAAAATATTTATTTATAGAAAAGACATTTTGGTAATCTGGTTACACCAAATTACGCCTTTGAGTTTGCACAAAAGGCAGATTCCACTAAGATACGAGAAATATTAAAATGATAAAAGCCCTTAAACATTTTCAGTAGAAATATCTTGAAAAGTTCAACTGAAAATACTCCTTTCCTCCCAGAACATTAAAATCCTTAGAATAACTCATATTTACTTACTATCTAATGAAAAGATCACTTAGCCTTTTATTGATAATTGATCAATACTCTATGAAATGATTTTGAGAAGCTCTAGTTTATAACTATTGTATTCTGTTTCTATTTCTTCTTTCTTTTTCAAGTTTTCAAAGAGAGAATTATATGCGAATGTTTGGAAATATAGTAATATTCAAAATAAATGATCTAACTATTCTAAAAACTCAAAAAGATATTTCTCACATGTTTTATTTCAATTAATCTTTCGCCTGTTGCAGGAAGAAGAGCAATCGTTTTATGCATTCACACGCGCTGGTGAGATAGATGAATCTCAATTCCTTGAAATCCATCAGATCTTCACTAGAATTTTACCATATCTGACTCATGATGGACAAAATGCGTAATTATACCATTGATCATGAGAGGGTGTGGATATTGGCTTTGATCAAGAGAATGACTGCACCCACACCCCTCAAAAACCTAAGTTTTGAAAAACTTGTTTTATGATTCATCGTGACAAGTTGATTTAGGAAAAACTACAGAACGATATTTGTCATTAGTAAATGGAATGAGTATGAAGAATCGTCGTTTATTTTTTTATAATTATTGCACCTCCTCAGCATTACTTTAAGAATTGAGGAGAAAAGAAATTTCAGCTATCGGTACAATCTGATCCGATAGAAGGTACTTTCCAACTGAATGAGCCATATTGGCACATTGTTTGTTGGCCACGTCGCAGCTATTTTGTGGCCAAAAAGCACTCATTGATTTCTCGTTTTCATTCTCATTAACAACTTTCCAACAATGATCTCATAATATACACTTTTCTTTGATCTTCTTCTTCTTTCTCTTCTCTTCTCCTCTCTTCCCTGTTATCTCTTTCTATTGATGATGATCGAT